TTATGCAGGATAGTTAAACTTAAGCAAGTTTTGTATTTATCTTTTTAATTTAGGTCTTGCGTGAAATATTTATAGCAGACAGTATGTAAGTTAGGTACCTTAAGCCATTAAAAAGTATTCTAGTAACCATATATTTGAAAACTGAAGGACGATTCGCCCTTTTACATCAGCAAAAACTCTAGAAACAGTGAAAAGTAGGAATAAAGATTGTTGATTTGCTATAAAACAAAAAGTAGTTAAGAATACCTTATACTCTTCAATCTAGGCTTTTAAGTTGTATAAGAATTATTTATATTGACATTTTACCCGTTATTCTTAAAACGTAATATTCACCGTATTGTAAATCATACAAATCTTATAATTTTATCGCTAAAACCCTTTCATAATGTGAAATAATTAATATTATTGTATGTTATAACCGTAGTATAGAGAATAATCATGATAATGTTAATGAAACTGTAAAAAAATATTAACAAATTGGTACGTACCTTTTGTCTCGCGCATCGGATTCAGAGTATAATATTTAGTCTTGATTCATTTAACGTTTAGTATTGTTTGAAACGAATTATAATATTTCTTGTGAAGCTGGGATATTAATTTTGCGTTGGTAGAACAAACTAATATTATTGGTGGACCCTGATGATCGACGTTTTCATTGGCTTTTGGAAAGATAGTTTCCTAATGGAACTGTAAATGTTCAACATTAGTGTATACCATTTTTCTATTTTAGTATCTTTAGTTTTGATTTACAATTTACCTCAGAATACATGTTAGGTTTCTCACATAACTCAGTAAAAATAAAGTACATACAAGTAGAGCTCAATCGCTTCTGTAAATATGTTACAGAAAATACATTACTGAAAGACCCTCACACATAGTAACATCCTGTGTTGCATATCATTGTATTTAAATAGCAAACAACGTAATAAAGAAATAGCAACACTATAGAACATAGTTAAAACGCACACGTACACGTATACATTGTATAATGAATTGAAAGTTCAATATCTATGAACATACTTTGTATTTTTTGTATAGGTAGAATTAGTACAATTATTTTCATAGAATTGAGAATGTTCCAGCAGGAAAATCTTTACTTTATAAAAAAACTTACCCTCTTCTAAGTTTATAATTAAATACTGCAATTAAGAACGCAAATCCTCAGGATATATTTGTTCGTTCACTTGGAATGTCATCAGATAATCTGTCAATGGATGTAACCGATCACTTGCGTCACTATCACTGACAGATTGATCACTATTGAGTCTAGAAATGTGACAGTTCATTATCAAGCTGTTTCGTCTATTTCAATATGTTACAGATTTAAAATAACTTATGTAGCACGATAATAGAAAACATAAAAAAATAATATATTTAGCATTTTACCCTTATAGTATAACTTTCATTAATAAAAAATGAATAGTATGTCTGTCTTTCAATTGTGAAAAAAACAAATTTTGGTTACAGTTTACAGGAAAGACATAGGCATGTTTCTGTTTTGAAATCTGACTTAGAGGTTTACTTCTCCTTCATGTATCAAGAACGAAGATTTTTGTGTGCTACTTCGAAAAAGTTATAGTATTTTTAAACCTCTATGATTTAGGAAAGTATAGCTGTTTGATACACTAGCTTTACAGGGCCACTTTCTTCTCTACTTTTCTCAACGAATTGTAAAACACGAAGAATACTACAGCTAAACACACAGGCAACTTGATGATATACAGATGATATAACAGATTATATGTTATGTGTTAATCTAATTGTGTAAGGATTCTTTGGGTCGATTGAAAGGGCATAAGCTAACTCCTTTATTTAGATTGCCATACAAATGCCATCGACCACTTTCAACATTTCCACAAATGCCCTCTTGTGTTAACACTTCCTTTTTTAATCTAAAGTGTAGATTTTATTCCTTGCCAGGTCACCTGTTCTTTGTTTGTTTTTTTGCTAATTCTTTAACCAGCATTTAAATTCTTATGGTTGGCAAATATAGGTTTTTTACTTTTAAAGGAGATAAAATGTACACTTATAAATTAGTGCATCTATGTATCATCAAAATAAATGTATACCACAATATTTTAGCAATTTTAATACACTATATCTATTTAAATCAAGCAACCTAACGTGGACTAATTATGCTTGTTTTACATAATTGCCGTGTATTTATCTTTTAACCGATAAGGGATTGATGGCGCCTGATTTCAATATATACAAAATACGTTTAAAACAAACTGATACGAAATAAAAACTTTGGCATTTGGATATGCGGGTTAATAAACAAATTCAGGAAATGTGTCGTCAAAAAATCTTTTAGAGAGTAGTAAGCTCTTGGCAAGGAGAGGGACAAGCTTCTTCGTAAAAGTTTTGCGCTCAAGACACTTGATAGAGTTTGGTAGCTTATTAAAAACTTGTATTGCCACTGTATTATAACTCTTTTGAGATCTTGCAAGTCTAACCCTAGGCACATCCAGTAACTTGTACTGCCTTGTTCGGTGGTCGTGAAACGCTGAACGGAGTTGGAACCGTAGTAGTCATGGATCGGTAGTGAGAATGCCTGTCTACAAGATTTTATATGAATTTTTCAGTTTAAAAGAAATTTCCACAGCCATATCTTACTCAAAGAAAGCGAGGAAACCTAAAAATATACAATTTCTACATCGAAGATCATACTTATATACTATACTGAATGAAGTATAAGTTCTTTCCTTCGTAGAATATATATATATATATATATATATATATATATATACTTTATTCAATCCATTACATAAACCTTGACTCTACAAAATGTACCCCTCACTCTCTCAATGTTCCTTGCCCCATCGTAGTGACCTTTCCCTAGCAACTCTATCTGTATGCTAATTCAATTGATCAAAGTTTCTTGTGGAGCTTTGAGGCTTGCTAACACGATTGAGTTTCAAGTTTAACCTATATTGCTTAACTCACAATTACGCTTGTCTCAACGAAACATTTTATATCCCAACAGGGATATTTTGTGGTTTAGCTTAGCTGTTGGTAAGTCATGTTGGATATCAGAACGAGGACTAAAATAATATTATTTATGTTTGATTTACATGTTCTTCAGATTTTTTTTTATTTTTACTCGTGACTCATTAGCCAAAAATGCTGTATTACAGTGTATGTATATATAATCAGTTTACCTCTGGAAAAAGGTTTAGCTAATGCAATAATTTTGAAACTATTTAAATCTTTTTAGTGCAGGATGATAACACTTTATGAACTCCATATTTTTTATGTAGCCCTAAAATTGTAACAATTTAGTGCGTTATACTGCTGTTATAGTGAAATCCAAGTAATCATTTAGTGCGTTCAGTGTGATATCATAGTAGAGTAAAAACTATTTGTATGATATTGATTTGTCTAATATTTAAAAGTGCCATTTTTTTATTTCGTGAAAGGTATTTTAAACTTAAACCAACGCATAGTTGTAAGTTCTTCGTAATATTCAAAACAGTTATATTTTGAAATAATTACCCTAAGTTTAATTAAATTAAGTTGCGTTCTAGGATATTGTTTTTTCCTTAATCGTTTTCAAAAATTAACAGTGACCTAAAATCTAAATATTCTACAGTTTTGGAAGGGCTAATATACTCTGAGGAATTCCAAACCTTCATTTAATCCGGGATTCTGGGATTCAACTAGCTGAGATATTCAGAATATACGGATTTAATCACAATTTTATGATGAAGTAAAAATTGGTTAAACACCATTACACAGAGAACATGTGTGCAATCCCAACTCCTGAGACTGCAATTTTCGTTTTAGCAGACAACTTTACCAGCTTATTAAAATATAAATTAGATCTTGATATGACAGCTCAGTTTACACAAAGGACTTACATTATAGTTAACTTTCAACTATAAGGTACCGTGAATACATTCATTGTATATGTTAACATATATTTCACCACACGTGCATGTCGCTCGTAATAAATCAAAAATCATATTCAAGAGTTTTATCAATATTCAACCTTCTTTTACCCTGGGTATTTTATATAAAACCTTAAAATTGTCAGCATACAGTCAAAAAATGATATTTTAAGTCAAAAATTCTGCTGAAAACTTTGAAACTTATTTCGTCCCCAACATTAAGGCTTTGTCTTCGGTATTTCAGAGCATCACTATTTCGTCTTATCACTCACTTGGTTTCTGTAAAGACAGCACAATAAGAAATTGCAGTGTTCACATATCCATGTGTTATTATTTTGATGCTCACTTGTTAACTGTTTTACATACAGATTATTTTGCATGGCAGCAAAAACCCAAAATTCTTACATATAATTTAGTTAGGTATGGTTATGGGTAGTTAATTTGTCATCACGCTACGATGTTTTTAGCCGTTTTATAAACGTTTATTGGAGTCGAAAGCTACTATTTCTTTCCATGCTGTAATCATCCTCTGGGGGCCAAGCAGGTTTTTACATCCCCAGGGAAGTAAAAATCTGCTGTTTGCTTATATTTTGTAAGTGTGCATTATTATTGTGGTGAATAGTGGTAATAGCGTATACTGTGGGGAAAACTAGCGTTCGTACCTCGGACTGAAATGGTTTTGCAGCTCTCGATCGTTTTAATTTGTCGACTATGTCTCGAACTTAAAAACTATCTCGTGCCAGCCAATTCTAATTTCTAATATTCTAGGTACTAAATATGCTATTAAACTGTCACTAGTTTCAAATAAAAGTAAATGTTGTATACTTAGGAAACAATTACAACTCCCACACAAATCCGTCTGTTGATAGTTTTCAGTTTTTTAACTATATTTTACAAACTGTTCCTACCCACTATTCCTGACAAGTAATACAATATTTCCTCGCAGTACTACTGTACATTATGCATGCAGTAGCACCAGTGTAAGATATGAATATAGTGACATGTGTCTGTATATTACACAACACTATAAACCTACCATGTGACTCAACGTCAATGTTTACTAAGACTACATGTTTAAGCTCATATCTCAGTGCTCTCGATGTTAACAGTTATCCATCATGTATCTCTTAGGTTTCTTATTCTCAACAAACTCCATATTTTCTATTTTGCCCATTTTTCTGTTCGGAATCTTATTTTTAGGTAGTATGCTATGTGTTTGCATGTGTTGTCTTATGGTATTATTAATGGCTTAAAGGTATATAATAGAACTGTTTGTTATTGTTATTAATTGATAGTTGAAAAAGGCTGAGTGGGAAGTTTAGTTATTGAGCTAGTAGTTTGATTAAAGTAATTAACAGTTTGATAGGGAAACGTGAAGTCAGGGTGTTACTTTTTCGTGAAGTGTGATATGAGTTTTTTGAACAATTGAAATTGTGCCGGGGTGAGTTGTCATTTTTAGGTAATAGCTTTGACTATTGATACACCTACCCATTATTGATACATCTATTGATACAATATTGACTTCTGTATCCAATAGTCAATGGTGATAGCCTGTTAAGACGAAATGGACATTTTGTGTTCTTATAAATATGGGTTGATTGGTTGTCGTGGAGGTGTGTGACATTTGGCTTAAAAGCTCAAGTAGTGGTAAATGTATACAAGGTTATACAGTTTAGCTAATGGTTTAATTTTTTGAAGTAGTGGAAATGGAAGCTACTTTAGCTAATAATTTTATTGAATTTCATAAGCTATATTAGCTTATTAGTCAAGACTGGCCTTAGGAAGGGAGACCGTGTGATGTTTTTGGTATTGTTTATTTGTTTGGTTGCTGCCAGACTGGGAGTTATTTGTTGTGAACAGGCTAGCTTGATGTTGTAGTACTGTGTTAGTTTTAGGAAATAAATTAGCTAGAACTAGTGCCAATATCACAAGTAGTTTGTTTCTAGTATTTATTGGATCTAGTTTATTGTGTATAGTACTGTTTACAAAGTTTAACCTTTTGTTATTATTGTTACGTGATATGTTGATGTAATTCAGTGATAAATCGAAGCTATTTGCGCTAATAATTTGAATCGATGTAGTATACGAGCTAAATCTATTTACCTGGTGGTCTGGTTAGATTGTGTTTTTGTATTGTTTGTTAAAGCGTGTATGTTACTGTTTTGCAAATAGCTTGAATGCATTTGTTAAGATGGTGAGTTTTTATTTTTAGGAAACAGTTTGATTTATATAAGGAGGAAGAGTTAAATTAGTTTTAATGGGTGTATTAGGGCTGGCAGTTTTTCTAATGCATTTTTATTGTTCCCAAATTCATTTCTAACTTAATTCTCTTGTTTTAGTGTTCATTCACATCTTCTTCAGAGACAAACACGTTGAAGATTCGCCAGATTACAGTTCGCTAACGCCACCCCAGTGAATAAGCTATCGTCCAAAGATGCCCCCAGATACGTAGCCTATCTTAGCATTCAATCCTACAATTTTATTCAGGTGACAATTTTGAAAGTCTCTAAAATGTTAAAATATTGCAGTAAATTGGTTAATTATTGCAATATTTGCTATTCAGTGTCTGGTAAATATAGATTTAAAATGTTTATTCAAATTTATAGATTAAGTTCCGTGGATATTGAAATTGCAGGGATATTGCCTTTATTTAAATATTAATTGTAAAATAAATATAAATTTTTACCAGAAGTGACAATGAAGAAACGTGCTACAATATGATATTAGACTAGTTATTGGAATAATAAGTAGGACTGAGGTATAAAAAATATTCTTTAGCAATAGCTTACGAATTATCTATTAGTATATGTAGATCAAAATACTATCAATCTCTTAAAACAGTTAATTGAGATGATTAAATAATGGCATTCATTGAGATGCTTGAGTATAGTATTCAACTAATATAAGATAAAAATACCAACATGAAAGCGATGGAAATTAATTATCTGATAAAATTTATCTAACTACATTGCCAAAAAAGCTACCATGCCTCTTTCTGTGGTATTCACCACACCATTCATATATCAATGCATTTTAAAAGGAACAAACAATCAAAATTCTTTCATTTTCTATCACCCCAATAACTACATTATGCATTGTTTGGACTAGAAACCATGCATCGTTACCAATATGTATCGTAAGCCCTTTTAACAATATTGCCGTCGTAAGATCTTTTGCATCCACAACTCATTAAAACAAATCAATCAATTTGGTCATCAAGGAACATTGATATAACTCCTATGTTAGTCAGTGGTGTCAGGGCCCGTCGTTAACGATAATAATAGATACGACTCGCTGTATAGGAAGGAATGTTCCAATTCGACCATCAAGGCACATTGGACATGCCACCGATAACTACAACGAGATCACTTTATAGCCTAGATACAACTCACCGAAAGGAGTCGTTCAATTAGATCATCAAGACACATTGATATGCCACCACAGTTAGTAATCGGTAAAAAAGACACGTTGATAATATTATTCTTTGGTTGCTGGTTTATAACTACAATGAGATCACATTACATATATGACTCACCTGAAGGAATCGTTCGATTTCGTCATCATGACACATTGATATACCACCACAGTTAGTCAGCGGTGGCAAGACGCGTTGATACATACAATGTGATCACCACAGTATAGATACGACTCACCGGAAGGAATCGTTCAATTTGATCATCAAGACACATTGATATGCCGCCACAGTTAGTCAGTGGTGCCGAGACGTGGCAATAACCACAATGTGATCACTACAGTATAGATACGACTCACCGGAAGGAATCGTTCAATTAGATCATCAAGACAAATTGATATACCACCACGGTAAGTCAATGGTGCCGAGACGTGGCAATAACTACAATGTGATTACCACAGTATAGATACGACTCGCCGGAAGGAATCGTTCAATTTGATCATCAAGGCACATTGATATGCCACCACAGTTAGTCAGTGGTGCCGAGACGTGGCAATAACCACAATGTGATCACCACAGTATAGATACGACTCGCCGGAAGGATTCGTTCAATTTGATCATCAAGTCACATTGATAAACCGCCACAGTTAGTCAGTGGTGCCGAGACGTGGCAATAACTACAATGTGATTACCACAGTATAGATACGACTCGCCGGAAGGAATCGTTCTATTTGATCATCAAGTCACATTGATAAACCGCCACAGTAAGTCAGTGTTGCCAAGACGTGGCAATAACTACAATGTGATTACCACGGTATAGATACGACTCGCCGGAAGGAATCGTTCTATTTGATCATCAAGTCACATTGATATACCGCCACAGTAAGTCAGTGTTACCGAGACGTGGCAATAACTACAATGTGATTACCACAGTATAGATACGACTCGCCGGAAGGAATCGTTCAATTTGATCATCAAGGCACATTGATATGCCACCACAGTTAGTCAGTGGTGCCGAGACGTGGCAATAACCACAATGTGATCACCACAGTATAGATACGACTCGCCGGAAGGATTCGTTCAATTTGATCATCAAGTCACATTGATAAACCGCCACAGTTAGTCAGTGGTGCCGAGACGTGGCAATAACTACAATGTGATTACCACAGTATAGATACGACTCGCCGGAAGGAATCGTTCAATTTGATCATCAAGACACATTGTTATGCCGCCACAGTTAGTCAGTGATGCCGAGACGTGGCAATAACTACAATGTGATCACCACAGTATAGATACGACTCGCCGGAAGGAATCGTTCAATTTGATCATCAAGACACATTGTTATGCCACCACAGTTAGTCAGTGGTGCCGAGACGTGGCAATAACTACAATGAGATCACCACAGTATAGATACGACTCACCGGAAGGAATCGTTCAATTTGATCATCAAGACGCATTGTTATGCCGCCACAGTTAGTCAGTGGTGCCGAGACGTGGCAATAACTACAATGTGATCACCACAGTATGGATTCGACTCGCCGGAAGGAATCGTTCAATGTGATCATCAAGACACATTGATATGCCGCCACAGTTAGTCAGTGGTGCCGAGACGTGGCAATAACTACAATGTGATCACCACAGTATGGATACGACTCGCCGGAAGGAATCGTTCAATGCGATTATCAAGACACATTGATATGCCGCCACAGTTAGTCAGTGGTACCGAGACGTGGCAATAATTACAATGTGATCAACACAGTATAGATACGACTCGCCGGAAGGAATCGTTCAATGTGATCAAGACACATTGTTATGCCGCCACAGTTAGTCAGTCAGTAGTGCCGAGACGTGGCAATAACTACAATGACTCCTACAAGATGAGTGTAAGTCCACGGGTTATCTGTCTTGTCGGGCTTTCAATTATTTCATCGTTAGTTTTCTCAGCATCCATTGGCAAAAAACATGGTAAATACTTTTGTTTTTGTTTTATTTTGTATTTCAGTGTTTTGTTAACATTTCAGCTTTTAGTATAATACTTTAAAATATTTTTCTGTTAGTAATGTTTAAAGAATACGTAGTGTAAAGACTGCATGCACAATTTCCTATCCTTTTATTAGTACGTTTTTATGAAGGATACTGAACATGAGTTTAAGATAGTTTGTGTTGTATGAAAATGCCAAATGTCTGGTATATATTTATCTTCTACATTCGTAGAGAAGGTATAACAATTAAATATGAAACGGTGCATATTTTTGTTTTATCACACAAATATTTTCAAGCAAAGAAAAGGAAAATTAGCACATAAAAATAAACAAAACGCATATAAAAGTAAACAATTTACAAATAATGTTTTAATTATAAAAGGTAGTTTGTAAATACCTGTTCTAAAAACTTACTAATACTGTTCAGAAATGTTTTCGAATCATTTCTCCAAAAAACTAAAACTCTGTGTCCAACCTTTTTATGATAGTTGTAGGTCCTATCTGTTATCTGTAGATTGAACTGGAGCAACCAGCTTCTTCCTAAAATGAAAAATATCACTTTCAGCCAAGAATCGTTGAATGTTAATATTAGAGCCAACTGAGTCATATTGAGTCACGTGAGTCATATTATCGCAGAACGAAAGTTAAGAAACTCCTATTTTTATCTCTAACTCATCTATCCAAACTCATTGAAATCAAATTAAGCGTTGGCAAACCATTGTCTAACAAATCTTAGCTATACGATGTTGGTGATAATGATGGTGACTTTATTTTCGACATTTAATAGAGTTTAAAACTCAAGGTTGGTTGGTGAAAGGGTATTTATTCAAGTTGGCAGGAACACATTTTCCCAGTTTTCAAAGATGTACAATATTTTTTTGTATTATTGGATGTTCTAAACAAAAGAGGAATAGTATGGAAGTTGAACTTGAGTAACTAGTCGTTGCTTTACAACTATTCTATTAATTCACCTTTTTATTTAATGAATTTTTAAATCCACCATAAGACAAATAGATATGATAATATGGTTATACCTTTTATTTCTACCAAACTAAAATAATGCTTATATTGTTGAAAAATGTATTACTCTTCCGAACTTATTACATGCTTACATATAATAATTACTGAATCAATTGTACTACCATACCCTTTTCGCAGTTTAGACGAGTCAAATTTAGCAAGATATATAAATATAATTATCGTATTTTTACTTTTCTTTTAAAAAGTGAATTATGAAACATTGACAAAGCTATTTGAAGGTTACAATACAGCATGGCATAGTTTGCATGACTGAAAGGGATGATTCCACACTGAGCACTGTAGTTGATATGTAATGAAGGAAATGAGTTTCAAATACAGAGTAAATAAGCCTTAGCTTGTTGTTTGATGTATCAAACATCAATGCACACATCAGTTAGTTGTTTTGGGTGGCTTATTATTATTATAAAACAGCGTTAGACTCATAGAGCATTAGATTTTAGTTTCATGTTCCCCATTTCGTCATGAGCTATACAAATTGATATACAGTTATTTTCAATTTACCCTAATGACAGAGTTTACCATGTAGAACTACGTTTAGCATTAGGTTAAGTCAAACTTATCTTAATTCGTAGGTATTGATTATCCGTAATTTCCCTCTTAATAACGATGATTGATTTACTATGTTTTAGTAGTTTAGCTACTAGAGCCCAGAAGCTTACCTAAGGTGGATTACTAAGCAACTTTGTAAAACGATTTTCTAGGCTGAAGTTAGTTTTAGATTTCAACAATTGCATGGCATAATACACCAACTTTAAAGCTTCCATAAAAATATTTTGAAACAGTAGCTCAACAACTAAATCCAAATTAAGTCTAACACAAAGATATAAATGCACGGTAATTATAAAATGGATTATATGTGGGATGCGGTACAAAAGGTAACTTTTAATGAATAGGCTTAAACTGAAACAAAGTGATTTTAAGTTCTACACAGTGTAGTTTTGTAGTTCATAACACTGAACAAAAACAAAATTGAATGGCTTTTGCTTTAAACCATTGTATGATTCTATTCTGTACTATTGGATACACAGTTAAACACAGTTATGCTACACAATATCTCAGTATGCAACCTAATTAAGTTTAGTTTTTAGTACATTTAATTTTCAATTAAATATTTTTCACGGAAATGTATGAATGAATGCAAATCATTTATCCCACTACTTGTTACAAAGCGGGGAGCGAGCTGGTCTAGTGGCAGAGGAGAGCGCGGAGCTTCATAGCTCGAGATCTCGTGTACAAATCGCGGTAATCACTAATTGATTTGATCTATTGGATAATACAGCGACCCTCTATAACTAGCCTGAAGTAGTGTGTGAAACGGTTTCAGGCTTGAACCAAGCGTCCTAGGATGTTTCATAAAAAAAATATAAAAAACGGTTGAATATTCAAAGTCAAAGTAGGTTATAATGTAAATAAAATACATTACGGTTGGACGGCACAGACCACTCAATAAAAAAAAAAAAAAAAAAATTACTAAACCATAATACAAAATACCATGTAGCCTAAATTTATTGGGTAATAACATGAGAAAATCGTGTTGCCCTATTTACGTAATCATAATTGTGGTACGCACAGCTTAGGTGTATTTTTACCTATTGTTTGTTTTTAAGAACCCCTCCCCCCCCAAAATATAAGGAAAATAAACAAAGACAAATAGGTTCTGCGTGGAAAAATTAAACTAGGTATATTGTACAAATTGTACATCTACAATTGACACAATATTTTCAATGGACATCAACAATAAATCAAACAAAGGTGATTATGTAAATCAGAACGATGACACAATAATTTTTACAAAAGTCCTGCAGTTGTTTCCCTGTTAAAAACGGTGGTGACCTTGCTAACTAAGAGAATTATGTTTGTATCTTGGAGTGGGGTCTTCCTGATTGACTCAAAGTGCTCAAATTGAGCACCAAGTGCTCCGGGTCCCTTTGAGCTCTTTATTGGGGACACTTGGGCTGCCTTGTATCAAAACAGCTCTTTGAAACAACCAGCAAGGTTAGGCTTAGGCAACTGCATTAGTGATGCTCTTAATTATAAGATGAGTCATCAGAGCCTTTACTATGGAGATGGCTCTTCATTATTTGTATCATAGTCCTAATAATATTATAGAACGCGATTGCCATTACATGAAAATTCACACACACTTTTAAATATTAGGGAAAAAAGCAAATTCATTAGCCTTAATATTATCAAATGTACTATACACGTATAATACGATTGTGTAAAGAAGAATCAAACAAAATTGATGCATTGTGGGCAAATATGATTTTATTGGTTGTAAAGTAATTTGTGTAAATGTGTTTGATTTTGTATTAGTTTAAGTCAGTTTCAAGATGTGTTGTCATATAGTACTAATAGTTTAAAGAGTTTAGTTTTAATGTAATAGTTTTTTCCTACAGTCACCCGACAAAGTTGGCTTCCTTGTACTGTTTATAGTACAGAAAGCTGCTAATTAATGCATATTTATACTTTTCCGTACGGTTTATACTTTGCCGTACGGTTTATACTTTGCCGCACATCAGGATTCCAACGAAACAACACAAAACAGCGTGGTTCTATTATGCACGTAATCCGTGTACGCTTGGAAATAGGTTGGCAACACTTAAAGATAATAATACTATGAGCAGCTGATTGACTATTATAACTACGATTTAACCTGTCATTTCGTATTTATAGTTTAGGTATTTCTGAACTTTCTGGACTTTTCATTTAAACGTTTTTAAAACATTCCTACGATCTTAATAAACAAGAAAATACCTTTAAAGCATTTTTTTAGGCGCGGAAACCACTTCAAATTACAAAAACATACGGAACTATATTCTCAAAACGCGGAGCACATTTCTTGCCGAGGAAAAATAGCGGAGTAATTCAGACCGCGGGTACTACTTTCTCTAGGCCACCTATTTGTGTTGCCAGCTGAACCTAAAAACGTGTTGTATAGTGTTTGAAAGACTAATTATTTATATGCTTTATAGTGACTGTAGGAAAAATATAATGTGTAACACGAGTGAAAAAGGCCTTTGCTGCACTCGAGATCATTCCGCACTCGCCTGCGGCTCGTGCGTAAACATTACTCTCGTGTGCAGCAAAGTGCCACTTTCACCACTAGTTACACAAATAACTATTTCCTACTTCTTGGGATTAGGATTTTACCTCTCTGCAATTGCCATATTATAGCATATCATATAATTTATTAACATTGTAATTTGTTTCATAACCCCATTAATGAGAATAGAGGTCTTTGGTAGAAGATCCCTGCTCATACTTAAAAGTACTGTATCCCAATCTTTGATAGTGAAAAGGTTTGATTTTGAAGATAGTATAAATAGTAGTATACAGTAAACGTTTTTGCTTATGAATTAGCACTGTTATTTTTATTTCAGTTTTTGGTTTGGGTATGTAGTTAAATACTACGTCTTACCTATTATGTATTGTGTTACTGACTAATACATCTATTCAGCTGTTTCCAAGTATCTGATCTTATCGACAATATATTAAATAAATGCGTGTATCTTTGAAAACAAAAATAGGGCTAGTCATATTATGTTCCTATAACTATTTTATTACTACTTTTTTTTTTATGACAACCATACAAGGGCAGGTATTTTAAGCCAAGAATGGAGATGAGTGTAGGATGAGTAAGTACTTATATTTATTTATTTTTTGTGCAGAAACACTTTCTACATTTCAAACCCATTACCTCCTTCAAGCGTACACTATTTAGAATTTACATCGGACTGTCGGAGTAATTGATTATCATTACTTAAAGCTGTCTGAATTTTACAGTGAACACAGTAAGGTCGGGGTCCTAAAACCTCTTTTGATTTCATAAATAGTATTTACTTTAAACTCGAGTTAAAGTTTATCGGTATTGTTGGAATCCCGAATGTAATTCGTCTTTGGAACTGTGTGTGCAAATTTATCTATTGTATATTAAATACGTAAGAAGTAAAAACATCAATAGACAAAGTACGACTCGTGTCTCGTGGAGTAGACAGTAAAAGCAAACCGAGTGTGATTACATGCAAATGCTGAACTATGACACCTTGCAATTCTATGGATAATCACACGTAAGGCACTTCATGAGGCACTAGCATTGTCGCTGTGTTTTCATTGTTCTATTCAACTGACTTCATAACAATCACTAATCTTAGAAATTAACCAACAACAGCTTACAATTTCAGTAAAATTTGTTACTATGTTAGAATGTCTTAACTCGTATTAACAAAATTACAAACCATTGGAGGTTTTGTGGTAAGTTTTTGTTTTTTGTGTTAACAAATCTACACGTGTAAGCCTTACAAGTTTATCTGGTGTCTAGCATTATCGAGCCTTCAGTGTTAATTTCGTAATTTCTATCTATCACCTATTTACAGGCGCCGTTAATGTTCAGAATTGTGTTGGCTGTTAAAATATACTGAACAGTTTATAATTTATTGGCGATTTCTATCAATTGCACACCTGATAAGGAACATCAAGGCCGATCATGGCCGTATTTAGTGGCCAAAATCGACAACCAATGTCATATGCATTTAAAGTCTTGACAATTTTACAGTCACGAGAAAATAAATATATTCAATGTGTCAGCCCGTGTTAAGTATATTGTTCAGTTGTTCGTTTTCAGTTAATCTCGCTTAATCGTAGTTGTAAGTAAATTTTGTGTGTTACTCATGTGCCCAATATTGCCCACCCTCACAGACTAGGACGCTAAGCCCTAGGCTGAGCCCAATTAACACATTCTCCTGTAGTCTAAGATTATCGTTATTGCCGTATTTTTATGTAAAATATTTTCGTGATTCGCAGGATATGAAACGAAAACATCGGAATCGAATCCTCGCGCTATAATACTAGACCGGCTCGCTTACCAGTGCCGTATATAACATCTGGAGCTCAAAAGGCTCTCGAGAATACTACATCAAAGTACTCAAATGCGTACACTATAAAGCCAGGGAAATAGATTAACATAATTGATTACCGCACTATTGAAGATATAGTTCTGTTTAGACTACTAATATTATTAATACATAAATCAAAAATTTTGATACCCAACGATTTGATGCTGAATTTCTAAACGTTGATTGCCAATATTATTTTTATTTTTAAACTATTTCAACCCTGTTGCAGCATCCTGTGAACCCGGTGAGTTAGTGTTCGTCGAGTGTAACCTCTGTACCTGCAATCCTCAAGGCTTTCCCAACCCTGTCTGCGCACGCATGTGGTGTCAACCCCCACCTAAGAATAAACCCCTCGAAAGCAACGAGATCGCTGCCTCCAAGTGACAAGAATTCAACTGTATGTTTCACTGTTTGTTTTTGTATTTGAGATAAGTGAATAAACTTGATCCCCATCTGAAGTTTTTGTGTAATTTGAATATATTATTAGCTTATACTTTTTTATTGTGTAGAATAATTTATCTGGTACGGATTGGTAAGCCTGACTCCTGATAATATGGATAAATATGTTCCTTTCTTTTGTCCTACCAAACAAGATTCACGCTATATTTTATCAAATAATCCTTTATGTCAACGAGAAAAACTCCTTGTTGAAAGAAGAATAATAAATAAATTGTCGTTTCTTTACTATGTTTTAAGGCACCACCGTATGGAACTATTTGCAGTACAGTATTTGTATGTCATGTATTTTACAATGTTATACAAACATTATGTTTTTTTTTATCTTTTAAAATTAATTAAAAGGATAGGCAAAAGTCAATTCTGTTAAACACTTATTTTATGTTGGCAACGACAGTAATTTTAAATTCGTATTTTATTCGTACCTAATGGTTAAATGTATAGAGTTTGCGCTTTACGTGGCTATTATTCATTTTAAATCCTACATGCTCAGCTAGCGTATAAATTAAATTGTTTGGACACAATAAATGTATCTACCTCCGTGCAAACGGACGCACGGTCTACCCACATGAGTTGGACAACTAACTTTCCAACGAAGTTAACAGGGTTTCATTGGAATGCCACCATTTTATTGCAAAAATAGAAAGTTAGAGAAATGTTTTTGCACTAGCTTAACAAAATCAGTACCATAAATGATTTGAAATCACGTCAATACAAGTCACGTATAATCACACAGTAAGCTTGGTTGGTAGTCATGAAACCGACTTGAAACGAACGACTTAGCTTTTTAAGGATCTATGTTAATATTTTAATTAATTGATTCGTATTTCAGCATATCAATGTTAACGAATGAAACTTGTATTCTTTCACTAAGGTACCTGTAATGCAGTTATAATATTAATCGGTAATTACAACTTCACAAATATATACGTAAAACAACAACTCACGACTAAAATTTTCAACTAAACTATTCATTTATCTAATTATTAATAGCCTACTAAGTATAAGTTATGAAAATTAATACCCACTGTTTAGACAATCGAATATACTTTAAGGTGGGCTGTATGTGCTGTTCAATACACGTTAATACGTGCTGAATATACGTTTTGGCACCAAATACAGGCATTCTCCCAGCGGCTGAATATTCGGCAAGATAGACTCAATGGCTAAACATCTTGCACAATTGGTTAGCCATATTCAGAAGCTATGAATCTTACCTTCAAGTTTTGCTGGTGATCTTTCTTAAATAACGGAGTCATCTTGAACATGTTTTTTATTACGCTGGTCGTTTGGCTAAAGATGAGTTTTCCAAAATGCCGAACTCGGCTGCGGAGTTGTAAATATCTTGCGAGTGTTTTAATTTCATGCATTTTTCAGTGTAGCAGCTTGGGAACCCCACCCAACCCTTTACGAAAAGCTATTGTATGATTTTAGTGGAGTAAGATCTCCAATCATGTTCTCCTCAGAGAATCTTAATTTTTTAGGTACTTTGATCTAAATTTAACATTGGCCCCGAAGCCATCAGCATATGAGTCAGTGACTCAGTAGGCAGCGATGTTGTGTGTTCACGTTCTGATGCTGACATTAAAATGTACCACAATAGTTTATTCTCTTAACAGTACCTTTCAACTTGATACGTTCCACGCACTATATAGCCCTGTGTATTTTCCGTCATTTGGATAAACATATTCAAGATTACAACAGGCTGCTTATCTTAAAAATAAAAAATAATAGCATTTTTTTTATAACGAGGTGAAAAATTACCATCATTGGCTGCTGAGGTTTAACCCAGGCCTACAGAAAAGACGTAAGAACTGTATACTACCAGATTTGAAGAAACTCTCGCTTTTCCACGGTAAAATCACGTTACCAAACTAACTTGTCAAAACAAAATTTTCTTCATTCAATTTTAATTTTACTCATTTATCATCTTTACCAAAACATTGTTGGTTCACGCACACATGAGCTGCAGTGCATTTTGAGGGCGTATCACTTGAAACACAGACCACATATCACCCACTCGCATCAACTCACAATTAGTTTATAGCCGCCTGTACTTCCTAATTGAACACCGAGACTAGCAGACTCCAACTAGGCCAACTTCATCTTCAGGAGTGTGCCTTAGTACATGGACATCAGGGGAATCTTCGGTCTTGTGGTGTTGTACAGCGTGGCACGAGATGGACGAACTGAGATCCAGACAAAAGGTAAGTCAAATAATTCTTTCGAGTGTAGCAAGGATTTAATTGTGTTAGCAGATATGTATGCTCTAGAAACAATAATAAGTATAGAAAAAATGACTTTTATATTTCTAAAGGTCTATAATAGTTTCATATGAATAAGTGATTTTATACCAATTTGTCACCTTCTTTCTCCTGTATATTTCAAGTTAATTACATATTTTAAGGGTTGACTTAAAAACGCATTTTAATATTATAACTCTTAATTGTAAACATACGTTTTAATCAGAATATTACTGAGAAGTCGATTTAACATTTTTTTCGATGTTAATCTTAATAATCCAATGTATTTTTTAGAGCAGTCTTTAAAATCTTTGTTCTAATGCAATATATTTTTTTTAACTAACAGCTGGATGGATATAAAAATGTTCTATATAACTATGAGGTTATTTGAGTTATAGGAAAAAAGTAAGATTAGTAAAGATAAATAGACCATTGCTGTATACAAATCGAAGTTCTGCCCACGGGTCCATACCCAATACCATACCCATACTAATCCATGATATCTCCAGGTGTATTTTTTTTTCATTTTTTCAAAATGTTTATTTTTAATGGTGATTTTCCATAATAACTCATAAAATAATGGAAGAATTGGATTATCTCAAAAATGGCCGAATGATTTTGATAAAAATGTATTATGTTATAGCCCTTTAAATCCTGAACAAAATGGTACAGATTTCACTACCGTAAAAATTACGGTTAGAAAGTTATTGTAAATTATGTTATTTTCCCATAAAAACTTGAAAACAAACCGATTCTGATGGAAATATATCTGTTATGATGTTTATAATTTTAAACAAAATAGTGCAGCCCCCAATCCCTGCAGAAATTACGGTTCAAAAGTTAATGCAACCTTCGAGATTTTACCTAATTAATATAATAGTTAGTGTGACGATGTAACTAAATTCCATTAGTTACTCTCATCACTTACCCATAAAGGTTGTTAAGAAGCTAATGGGAACAGTATGTGTCAGATTGCTGATACCATTTACTTTATTCAAATATTGGAACTTTTTCAATATAAATAAATTTTCTGTCCGCTTTGTGGTTGAAATAAGTATAATTATCATTGCGGGTACTGATCCTATTTATATTTAAGATTATTGTAACATCCAGATTCAAAACATACCGTAGTTGGAATGGCGAGACTTAGTTCCGCCACAACTTTTTCTGACGATGGTTCTGAGCGGAAGCGTAAAACATTAAATATCTAAGTTATATATCTAAGTTTAAATATCGGAGTTTTAATAGTAAATAATATGACCATTGACCAGTGCTACCATAAAAAGGAATTTTATCTTTTATGTTTCCAGTACCTTGTGAGCCGGGAGAGTTAGTGTTTATTGACTGTAACATCTGCACATGCAATCGACAAGGATTTCCTAACCAGGTGTGTATGTAAAATATATAACTTCTCAAATCAACCAACGTTTATCGATTAGTGAACAGCTATACAAAGTCCTTACCAATGTAAATAATATAGGGTGAACATAAAAGAAGTGAACAACTTTGAACATCAATTTATCGAAAACTACGGATCTGACATCGCTGCGGTTGGTACCAGTGAGTCGGAAAACACCTTAAGTTTTGTCTCAAACAGCTGATTGCTGTCAACAATACAAACATGTGACAAAAGATGTTATTTATTGATTTGTTTAAAAATGGTCTAACGATCTCAGAAAAGTCTTTTTGTGTGTTAGAATTAGGGAGAACTCAGTCTGCCACGCATGTCCAATTGTGACTTTTTTGTGGGGAATGTGAAAGACAAAGTTTTTGTTCCTCCTATGCCATTGAACCTTTTGGAGCTCCGAAATCGCATTACTACTGCAGTACAAAGTGTCAATGAGACCATTCTTGAAAAAGTTTGTGCAGAATTTAGATTTAGAATAGATGTGTGTAAAATAAGCCGAGGATCCCATACTGAGCACTTGTAATATATGGAAAATAACTTGAGAATCTTAGCTTTCTAATGGTGTATTTCACATTCTCCTAGGTGGTATAACTTTCCTGTAATCTTTTATTAAAGTTGTTCACTTCTTTTGTGTTCACCCTGTATATTAAAGCTTGAGTCTCGCGTAACCACATTAATCTGTACACAGTAAAACATTGTACGATTTATTGAAATACATCTATAAATTATGACGAAGTAGGATAATTTATACTATTGCAAGTTAATACTTTATATTTCTTAAAACAAAAAATACTCAAAAAGACAATGCTACAGATTACCTAAGCTATTAAGTAAGTAAATAAAGCTATAAGTAATTGTAGAGCAACTCATCTAGAAAGAACTATAGGGAAATTGCATCGCAACTCAATGCTTATTTTTATTTGTTTTATGATAACAAGCACTTATTAAAAACATAAAACAATTCATTGAAACTTCCTTATCCTTGTACTGTAGTATCATGATGCAACAAAATACAATATGGAAATGCATTTAACTACTGATGAATTTCGTACTATAATACACCCGTGAATTGTCAGATGCATTTGTTGAATAAATTATTGTTATAACTTAGAAAATTATGGTATTTTAACTTGATAATTGTCTTCATATTTCATTCATACCCATACTTTAACTAATGATTTTTCCATTTGTTAAATTTTAACTAAACAAATAATATAAATACACAATGGACAGCTAGACTTCTCACACATAAGAAAACCAAAATTACAAAAGTCAGATTTAGTATAATCGTTAAAATTGAAAAGTTGTTAGGGACATTTTAAAACACAATTAAATTTTCTTCAATGAAGAAGTCTGACTTTTATATTTTATATCAATGATGATAAAATTTATTACGTGGAGCTTACTGTCATCGAACAATATTTAATATTGTTACATGACAGTAAACTATTTTCGTGTATTCTATTTTATCAACCTTAACTTTCAGAAGTTTTCGTTTTAACCGTAACAAACTAGTTTATCTGTTTTCTGTGTTACAGATCTGCGCCAAAATGTGGTGTCCTCCCCCTCTCTACCCCTCCAAAACCGCACACAACCCTGTCATGTGAGAGTGGTTTGCACCACAACCACTACAGCTCTTACTTATGTCTCCTGTCTGTCTGAACCACAATATCATCTGCAGATGTGGAGCGTTGTTGACGACAGAACCACTTACACGCAAACTGTATTGAGCCTACTCCTCCACAGATGTAAAATAAATATGGAGTCAAGTAAATTATGATACTTTCTTGTTAGTCACATCTCTCTACAGATCTAAACAACACATTTTCTCAAAGCTAAAATTTTCTTTCATGGGTTTAGGATGATCATTATAGGGAGAGTAATAGCATTGAAATCTGTATACAGTATATTTTGTTCACAATATTTAAGCGGTTTGAGGGGAAGTCCCCCCCCCCCCGAATCAGTTTTACTTGGTTAAGAAGACCACATATTCTACTCTACAGAAGTTAATAACTTAAGTCAGCACAATCTGTCAGTGGCTCACTTCAACTACAACTAATTGTTAATACAAAAAATGGCAACATTTTTAACATGAGACTGTAAAGTTAGTTCTCGTCAATAGTCTAAGGTAACAATTAGATTGTTTCCCATAAAATTACACCCTGATATCATTATCATTTTGAGATAATGATGGTGTCTTATTTATTTCCTTTTTTATTTTGATCTTTTTTAAACTGGTTTCTAAGTTTGTCGAAACTTCAACGTCTTCCTCTAACGTTTTAATTTCTGGTACTGAACTTTGGTTGAAACTATTCTATAATTTAATGTAACATTACCTATAATTCAATTAGTATAATTTATTTCATTAACCAACTCAACTTCAACATTAACATAATAGCATTCATTGTCATAATTTATATGGACATGGTGCAATGACAAGCAAATCGCATATTCCAACGTTGCTTCAAAAACCTAATACTACAATAATTTCCAAATGTATTTATTTAATTGCTGTTTTGATTTTCAAAATGTTTCAATCGTAACTGTGTTAAAGTTCTGTTTAAAAATATAATCAATATATACACGTGTTCTTTCGCTTCAGTTGTGAACATCGTTGACTTTTAATCTTATTTTAAATTAAAACCGTATTTTCTTAACTGACCTACAAAATTACTGGTGAGAACAAACATGTTCTGGAAAATAAATATTAGTTTTCTGGATGTGAACATAGATTATCGTTCGCTTACACTTAAATATTAAATTTGGGATAAGTTAATAGTAATAGCAGGAAACTGAAGTTGACAGCCAACAAAACAATAACAATAGTGTAGTTTGAAAGTAGTACAACATGTATGCAGTTGTAAAGTTTACTAATGGCATTACTACACGATCTTTAGTTACCTGGTTGAAATACTTGCGTTGTTTTTTAATGTTTTATACATACATACTATGCAATCTTTTTGTTTCCATTATGTCAACAGATATTTTTGTTTGGTAACTGTATAAATAAAAACACATTTCTTTAAATCTGTTATTATTTATTTGCATAGCAGTCTTCGTTTTAACACCGGGTTGAACTTGGCATCGAGTAATGGAAAAAAGCTTGTTTGTCAACAACTGTAGGAAACAGGGATACCAACTTATTATGCTTGTTTTGTAATTAAAATGTTTCTCACGGTAGTTTTAATCTGGGTTGCGTTAAAACAAAACGCCCTGTGTAACATGTAAGCGTGTGATTAATTAACAAATCCGAAGCAAACGTCGAAGGGAATCGAAGAGGTATACTAAACAAACTACCAATTCTTCTCTGCAAATATTGATCCTTCTTCACATCGAGGAGATAAGACTTGAGCAGCATCAGGTGGCAGAGTTAGCAGTTTAGACATTAAGGATCTTCTCCCCTCACATCAATGTAAGCTTTTTCTGTCCCTCTTGACCTCGACAATCTTACATTGCCTAGGTCAGTCCTTTGTATCAGCGGTTACACTCATAGTTTCCTCAGTAACATACACCCAAATTTCTAAAATAAGTTTTAGCAAAGTTTAATTGGAAAACTGTTGTTGTAATGTTTTTAATTGGTTAGGCTATATTAAATAAATTTAGCAGATGTAAGAGTAAATACTGCTGGTACATCGCTACCTAGATGTTTCTTGTAAGAATGTGTACAACTGAATTCACTAATGTTCTGTTACGACGGTAAGAACACAAGAACAACCTCAAGCCGTATTTTCACCAATAATCAAAAGGACGTTTATTTATTGATATTGAAATATTATTTTTAAAGTTTGTTAATTAGATACCTAGAGGTTTGTAGAAACATCGTGTTTAACTGAAACTCACTAATGGTCTGTAAGAGGCTTTAAAAGGGAAGGCTGGGACATCAAGACGGGGTTCCACGAAGAATCAAGTGTGAGTTTTCCGTGTCTTAAGTACATAGTGTTAAAAGCCTTTTAAAAGTGCCTTAATGTCATCAAGAGTAAGTGACACACTCTACCGGTCCTAAACAGAACTAGGTCATTGGTTGCTAGGATACGGCGTCTAGGCAGTGCGCAGGGGCGACCACTGGGATCGATATACACGGGGAGCCATAAGGTCGAGAATCTCCGTGTAAAACTTACAAAATCGACCTTACGGTATCCCATGTGAGCGTTGTGTTTTCTTTGCTTTCCAGTACATACTAGATACTTGTTGAGGAGGGACCATTTTATTTGTATTTAGAGTTAATATAAGTGTTACTTGGACTTCTTTTCTACATTGATGGTATGTCTTAAATGCAAGACATTGTCTGTTGTGTTTGTTGTCTGTTTGAAATCACTGATCTATTGAAGAAAAACTGTGTTAACTATGTGTATGTAACGCATGAGTATTGAATAACAGTATAATATTTAATAGGGTGTCAAAATTGAATATGCATGACAACTTAAAGATCCACTTTTCTTATTCAAACAGAGATGTTATAGTAGAGTGATTAGTATCAATAAGTAATTAGTCAAACAATAATTAGTTTGTTTGTTTTATAACATTAAAATTGAATTTATCACATGGCATTTAGGGGTTGTACCAAATACGGTACAATGTAATAGTGTCCGTCCTCCAAATACGGATTAAATTCTCCTTGCCTAGAATACCGTTCTCTTAATCTTTTTATAGGTAGGTTGAACGAATAGACAGATCTACTAGGTTGATGAATAAGGCACATTACCTGTGGGATATTAACCTGTGTCTACCTACAGGAACTTCACGATCCAATTACTATGTCAGCTGAGCTATAATTTTATTTATTAATATTAAAAAATAAATATAAAATATAAAGAGGAGTCAAAGTTCGGCTGTGTTATGGATTCATTATGTTTTTTTTTCACAATTCCATTGTTGAATAGGTGCTCAACTTAAGTATTACTAAGTAATCTGTGTGTATAGCTTCAAATTATTGTTCATTTTACAAAAAAAGAACCTCTTAGTATTTAACAAGTCAACAGTGTAGTATATCTCATCAGGTATCCGTTCGCAGAAATAAATAGCCTAAATAAATAATCGGAAAATAAGTGATCCAGATGGGCAAAAAACAATGAACTTGATCTAAATCAAATTTTATGGCTAGTAAAAATATAAGTAAAGTATTAAACATGCCATACTATGTGTACACTAGTAGTCATCATCCTATGTCCTGCACACCTATTTACAGCAATGGCAGGCCTACACGTGACAGCTCTGGAGACCCTCAAAACTCTTATGTTATAAATGCTAAATTAATTTGACACTTTTTTAAACTACATGCAAGTAGAGTAAAATAATTATAATGTTCAGTTATTAAGAGAGCTAGTGCTATTAAACATACGAAAATTTTAGTAATTTAATTATTATTCCAAGTATTTTTATAATTACAAAATTTCCATTCCAATTTTTATTCAAGATTGTATGTTTATTATTTGGTTTAAAACATCCAGTTCAAATTAGTAGTCTCAAAATGTTTGTATTCAAAATTTTTAAATGTTCTTACAAAAAAGAGGTTGTACACAAATTTTTTTTTAATCGTTGGAATATTTACTAAACGGCATAAATTACATTTGATTTTAAATTAAAATAAGTATATAATATGTATAGTATATTGACCAATAGTGTAATGATATTGTATCCTGTATTTTAATTCATTAAAGCCTATTCAATAATTAAAGATTAAGCGACATAACTGTAGTATAAAAATCAAACTGTGACAATTAGTAGTCGATAACGTAAATCATTTATATTTATTCGTATATTATTCTTTGAAAACTAGTCCATAAGCCAAATGTAGTATCTAAACTCCCTACATTTTAATTTAAAGCTAATCTGTTGACCTATTCACTGATAGTGTTATCTGTGATGGTGGTAAATTATGGTGTTATCTGTTAATATCGTGTAAACGGCTGATGTTAAACTAACAGCTGATGCGTGTGTCGCAGCTGTTCTACAATCAGCTGTTTCACACCGTTCAAGCACCATGTTCACTCGACAAGACATACAGCGTCATTGTTTTGTTAAATTACCGATTTTACAATTAAATAAAAGTCTTACATTAGTTATTACATTATATGTTAGGTTTATTCATTGTTTTAGGGTATGATTTATTCATTTCGAATTGTACACCTTGATTATCCAGAAATTATCATTTAACTAATAATTATATTGTAAAATTATTCAATAATATATGAATATTCAAATTTAAAATTACACACTAATTGATGGACATTAACATCTAGTAACCATAGCGCACCATTTTAAAGCAACAAAGAGATAACACTTTTGAAGTACAACATAGACTATTTAAATTAAAAGACTATTTAAATTCGTCCGTCTTGCAATGCAACTCAACGAACGCTCAAATATTACAAGTAAAGTAAACTCAATTAGATTAATCTACTAAAAACCAAATTAGAAATCCCAATCTAAGTTCATCAAATTCTGATATATTTTACGAGGTTTATTATGTCCAAATTGTAGTATATTTATGTGAGTCCATATTAGTCTATAGGTCTAATAAATTTCTTTGACATTCATTTCTAGTTTGGTTCAAATGTTAACATTTAGGTTAACAAAGTTTACAAATAGGTTAATATGTAGGTAACTTATTTGAATATTTTCTTAGAATAGTTTGGCCAGTACGTGAGGTTGTATACAACAAAAACACTGTTTGGTTTTCATATTCAACAAATTCTTTTTCTATAAACGAAAAACAATCAATTTAGTAAGTTATTTTTATTTGTTTTAGTAGTTTTAGTAGTGGTGTGGTGTACTTTATTAAATACCTATACAGGGTGTCTCGTAACTCTCTGGACACATGTATATATCGTTATTGCTTAGGTCAAGACAAACACATTTCACCATTGGAACATGTGTCTGTGGTGTCTAGTTTACCGACTGTCGGCATTTATGTGTTTTTTACAAAAACACTAACAACTCCTAAACTGTTTGAGATACAGCAATGAGATTTTGCATAACTGTTAATCTTATTAAGGCTAAATTTTATGTAGTTTTCAATGATACCTTATTTGTTAAGATTGGATAAATAATAACAGAGAAATGTCTTCTTTTCCAAATGCATGACCACTTTTCTCCATTTAAACAATGCTAAACAACGTATAAGGAATATTAGCATTGTTTAAATGGAGAAAAGTGGTCATGCATTTGGAAAAGAAGACATTTCTCTGTTATTATGTATCCATTCTTAACAAATAAGGTATCATTGAAAAATACATAAAATTTACAAACTTTTTTGTCCCTTGCAATTTTTTGTTAAGTTAACGGTTTTCGTGAAATTTGGCATCAAATGTTTTAAACGGCTGCCATTTTGAAACGGTTAATGATTTTTTAGTATAATTTTAAACAACGATAAGCCTTAATAAGATTAACATTTCTGCAAAATCTCAACACTGTATCTCAAACCGTTTAGGAGTTATTACAGTATTTGTAAAAACACATAAATGCCGACAGTCGGTAAACTATACACCAGAAACCCATGTTCCTATGGTGAAATGTGTTTGTCTTGACCTAGGTAAGCAATAACGCTATATACATGTGTCCAGAGAGTTACGGGACACCCTGTATAGCAATTAAAATCGTTACAAAGTTAATTCGTAGTTAAGTCGTAACCAAGTTAAAGTTAAAATCGGTACAAAGTTAATGAACCTGAAAATACATAACAGGCTCTTTAAAAATAAATTCACTAAGTAAATTTAGCGTTGGCCTTAAGTTAAATAGTCTATAGCCAAGACTAACATTATTTCAACCAGGCTATATCACTAGTTGGGCACCATATATGACATGTTATTGGGTCAAGGGTTAATTTATTCAAATCTCAATCCATCGTATTTATGGCGCAATACCTGAATGGATCTAGGTCAAAATGATTGGCCATAAACTGGTATAATGGAGCCAAACCCTTAGCCTCAGTTGCTTAAAGTAGAGTCTGGGGAATTAATATTTCAGTTATTAGTAACAATATAGAAACTATAATGACGATGTGACACGAAATAGGCTATAGTTATACTGTTTTCTAGCAATCTCAGTCAGTCAGACTAAAAACATTTGTCACAATAATCCCTCAAAACATAAGATAACAATTTTACATTTATCTTTGAAATACAGACATCCACATCTACCTACAAACATACTTTCATATTGGGACACATCAAACAATTTGTCCACAAATTACCTCTAATTATATAGCATAAACATACAGCCGCATGTGCCGTAACTCACTCACTGACTGGCTGACAGACTGATGAGGTAGGCCTACAGTATACAATTTCCATCACATGTTTATAAAATAGCCTATAAGTTTGAAATTTGGCACGATTATTATAGGTCTTGGTCCTAAACCACCAGGGAAATTCAAAAAATGGCTGATTTTTTTAATTCTAAGAAAGAGGTGTTTTTTTAAGCAATTATTGCAGCCAAACCAATGGTCTAGTAAAAAAAAACTTGTGCACTTTTGATTTTAAATAAACTTAAACTTTTTTTAATTAAACATATTTTTCTATCTCCACCTCTTCACCTGCAAGTAGAACCTTATTTTTCAAATTTTGAGATTTTTACTGGTGGTTTTGGCCACCATATGTTAATATATTTACCTTGCACTCTACGTTTTTTGTAAGCTGAAAACTGTTGGTATTGTTACTCTTTCACCCCCAAATTCAGGCTGAAACTAAAAATGTTAACTTGTTTTCCTTTTTTTTATGGGTTTGGCTGCCCAGGAGTAGGTTCATATTTACCTATATTTTAATTTAAATATGCCTAAAGTATATTCAGTTCTTAACCATTTTTGGACATTTTTAACCCCCTTCTACCGCAAAATGGGGAGGAAAATTTTATTTTGAATCAAATTCCAAATTTTGGAAATTCTATTCAATATAAAAATACGTAAATGTAAAGTTTGCGACGATGCTTTCTGCACTAGTAAAAATATTAAAAGTGCAGTCGTCACCGTTTGCCGGGATAGCTCAGCCTACGATGGCTGGGTAAAATTCCAGGGTCTGCGATAAGGTCAGGGAAACCACTAGGCCAATAGCCGGGTCTAACCGGTATAGGACTGGCTCATACACGGGCACTGTGAACAAGTCAAAAACAAGTCACCAAGACAAACGTGCAATAATCACTACCAGGCCTACGCCGATTCTCCACACTCCTAGGGGGTCGTTGCTGACTACGCAACTCGGGCTTCGTCCTAACTATCCAATAGCTAAGCCCAGAGTGCCTAAAACACGGTGAGTTACACGACGACT